GCAAACCAACGAAATTCCACGACTTGCTCCAAATATCATAACCCGTTGCATGAAACATACACATATGCATATACTACATACCTATGTATGTGAACAAATTTGTCAAGATGCGATTAAGTAACAAGTGTCCTTCAGCGATTACGCCGACAATTTATGCATGCGAAAGTGTAATCACAACAAAATTTCTTAATGCATTCAACCAGTTAATCAGTTTGCAGACATTATCACCAGCTTGTACTATTAAAAGTCCATTGAGATAATGGAGTAAACAAACAAATATACGTATTTACTTAAATTTACATACCTACGTACATATGTACATATGTATGTTAACTCTTTGTCGACATGTCACAATTACAAAATATAAATCTTGATTGCGAATCAACAACAATCAGTGGGAAAGGCAAGTTTACATTTTGTTGTTGTTGTATGCATTTGTGATTCTATGTAAAAAAAAAAGAAGTGATACATCAAACGTTGCATGAGCGCACCTATCTCATTTGCGAGATATTGCCGAGATGCCATTAGCCATTATTTATGACTGGTGCCCATTAATTTCATCACCAATTACTTAAGTTCACCAACCGGCAAATGCAGGCGAGACTCTACAAGTTTTGCATACATACGCTTACATTCGTATGTAACTAAGTGCCAACTGTTGAACTAGTTCAGGTGTACATAGGCCACTTTAATGAGAGTGAAAGATGCTGCTGCCTAACGACGCCAAGCCAAGAGGGAGGTGTTTTCTGCTGCATACATTAGCGAGCAGTGAGCAATGGTTGTGTTGTCGCATGCCGCTCGCTGCTCGCTTGGCAACATGTTGCGCATCATTGTGGAGGGAAAACATGGTGCCTGCAAGTTCATTTATCAGAATTTCGCTTTATAGTCAATTGATCTTAATTATGCAATGTGATCAATGTTGCCACAGTGAATGCTGTAATCAAAATAAGCAAAAGAACGAAAAGTAGAAACGGCAGTGTAATGAGGAAAGCAAAGCATCGGAACAGAGAACGCTAAAGAAAGCACACACAAACGGCAGAAATGTCCATATGCGTTGTGCTGTTAATAAATTTATAATTACAACTTGCCACCAAGGCAAGGCAAAGTGGCTGGCTGCGGCATGAGAAGTACATACATACATACATAAGTGAAAAAGAAACAACACAAGCTGTGGTAGAGTCAGCGGTAGAGGCCGAAAAAAAATCAGTGCAAGTGCAGAAATGGCGAAATAAAAACACTACAAACAAAATCACCAGCAATTGTAAGCAAATTTTGTGGCCGCCAAACAGGATTTGGCTCCCATCGAGTCGCGAGTCGCGTGGCGCTGCTGCTGCTGCTGTGGCAACAAGCAGACAGGCAACCACCAAACAACCAGCCAGCCACCGCTAGCCGTCAACGGTCTATATAGTCAACAGTCAACCAACAGCAATTTGATTAGGTACCTTCTTCATCGTCGTCGTTGGACGTCGTCGTGGAGTATTTTGCTGGCATCCGTTCAACGTTCAAAAGGCATTGCAGCCACGCGTACATTGGCGCTGCGATGCGCTGCGCTGCGGCAAGTTGTCGTGCCGGCCCTGCCATCAACGCAATATTGTGATAACACATTTTCATCGGCAGCAATAAGGAAAACAACAGGCAGTTATGAGAGCATAGTAGTGTATTGGCGGCACTGCAACAACTACATACAATAATAACAACAGCAACTGTAGCCAAAGTTGCAGCAGATACTTACATACATACAACAGCCACATCACAACGGCAGCATCACCATAGGCATCAGCATCGACATCGGAATCGGTACACCATCATTATCGTCATCAGCCGCAAAGTAGTTGTATGTGGCAGCAAAAGCGGTCGGTGCAACAACAACACCAATGCTTTTAAGTGCTTAAGTATACATACATATGTATGTCTTGGAAACGCATGCATATCTACATACATACTTTGTTTGCTGCACTGATTTTGTAAAAATTTTCTTCCTTTGGATTTTTTTATTTTTTTGTTTTATCAGGCTTTAGTGTTTTCATGTAAATGGCGATTTAAGCATACATACCATACATACATATTTAGTTTGGTATTTAATATTAGGTACTGGGCTGCTGAGTTTGGAATATGGAAAACAACTCCCTTCATAATCGCATTAGGCGCAGGGCATTATTCGCAACTCCCAACTTGTAAGTTGGGTTTTAGGCACATATTGCTTTATCAACCGGATACAATTTATGCTACTCGCTTATTTCACCCATTCGCTTATGTGTATGAGGCTTATGTTCATAGTAAAGTGGCAGACTATCTATTTACTTAGCTATATACTATTTTTTATGTAAGTCCCTACAGAAAATAGTCGGCAAAAGAACGAAAATTAACTGCGATCCCAAAACTCAAAATGCCTCATATCTGAAAAGTCGAGTTGTTATTGTTAATACGGTCCTCAGAAACTCTTCTCCATTCGCTCTGAACTACTTTACCATGAAATTAGGAAAAGCAAGTTAAATTAAATTAAAGTCGAGGCTTCATTTTTGTTTAAGGCATAGTAATCAGCTCTTAGAAAAAAAAAAAAAAAAAAAATTATATAAAAAAATGCTCAAAAAAATTAAAAAGAAATTTTCTGCTATCAAAAATTCTTTGAAAAAACGCTCTTTTATTTATTTTACAAGCTTTTACTTAGAGTGACTTGAAGCTTCAAATTTGTCTCACAACCCGATCACAATGCAATATGAAAGTTTAATTACTCTGCTAGTTGGCAAAGTAGTCGAGACATTTGAAACCCCTGTATTTGTAATCCACTTGGATGGAAATAACTCCACAATAGATTTTGCTGCTAGGTGGCGCGGGTCGTTATATTTCGAAAATTTGCATTTTTGGTCTGATTTAATTTATAATTATAACATAAAAATATTGATTCATGTAAAGGAATAACTCCACAAAAAAGTTTGCCGATATGTGGGGCAGGAGTCAAGATATTTGGTAAAGCCGTATTTATGGTCCCATTTGTTAAATATGAAAGCTTATTTTAACAAGTAAGAAAGTCTAAGTTCGGGCGGAGCCGAACATTAAATACCCGGCGCAAGTATTAAATATATGTTTTTTCACCTTTCCGAAACCTTGCGCTAGATGGTAAGCCGGGGTGTATCAATTTTGAGTAAATTAGCGTCCTTCAATTTCGAAATATTGAAGTTTCAAGCATTTCTTAAATTTACCGTTATATGAGAATCGGCCGTTATTTTAGTCCGATTTCAATAATTTTCAACGTTTTGCTTACACGTGGCAAGTACAATAACCATACCGAGTTTGGTACAAATTGGTAGAACGGTTACCGATATACTTATATGTGATCATAAGTGGGCGGTGCCACGCCCATTTTCCAAAATTTTACCATAAACGTATTTCTTGGTAAAGAATTGTTGCAAGCATCAATTTTGAATAAATTAGCTTCAATATTTACTGATTTATCGAAGATTTTGTATTTCTCTAAATTACCGTTATATGGGATGTGGGCGTGGTTATTGTCCGATTTTAAAAAGTTTCGGCGGTTTTTTATGCTGTACCAAGGCCAACAACTGTGCCAAGTTTGGAAGAAATTGGTGCAGCGGTTACCAAGATATACACATGTAACCATAAGTGGGCGTGGCTACGCCCATTTTCCAAAAATTTATAATATTCTTATTTTTCGTCTAAAAATTATTGTAAATATCAATTTTGAGTGAATTATCTTCAGTAGTTACTAAAATATCGCAGTTTTCGTATTTCTGGAAATTACCGTTATATGGGAAGTGGGCGTGGTTAAAGTCCGATTTCGCCCATTTTCAATACCAACCTACCTTGGATTAAGGGAAACCTACATACCAAATTTCGTTGAGATATCTCAATTTTTGCTCGAGTTATCGTGTACACGGACAGACGGACAGACGGACAGACGGACAGACGGACGGACGGACGGACAGACAGACATGGCTTAATCGATTTCTTTTTTCATCCTGATCATTTATGTATACATTTGTCTATATCTATCTCGATTCGTTTTGGCTGTTACAAACAACCGTTATGTGAACAAAATTAATATACCCTTGTGCACAAGTGCGCTCGGGTATAAAAATATTTTTTACTAAACAATGCTATTTTTTTTTTTAATTAATAAAACTAAAACTGGAATTTTATGTATTCGCTGGGCCTCAAGCTTAATAAATAAAAAAAATTCATAGTTTATAATTCAAAGGCCAACAACCAAAAACAAATATTTTTTACTATTAACTTCTTTTAAAGAAAATTTACAGCCACTGCAAAGTGTTTTTTTTTTTTAAAGAAGGATTGAAAATTATTTGTTGAAATTTTTCTTGAGCGCTGCGGGTCAGTTCTCGTTTTGTGCAATGGTGAAGTACAAATGAAATTAATCAAAGTCAGTTAAAATTTGATTTTTTCACTTTATCGAAATGACCAATCTTATTATTAAGTGATTCTCGATCATTAAAAGTCATTCCCTAATTATATTTATAAATTGCTAATTATAAAAGAACTTGAATTCCTTTTTGTAGAAAATTAGATTTGCGATCGAATTAAGCTATAAAAACCTTTTTTTGTTACCATATTTAACTTTGATGGACTTGTGCGAGCTCAAAATATTGACAAAAAATTATTATTTTTCACACAGATTTTTTAGAGCATATTATAATATATAATATATACACTTTGGCAGAAATGCGTTTTATTCCTCATTTTAGGCTCTTTTTTTTCTGATTTGGGAACCGGAATAGTCGCAGGGGCTAAATCGGGTGAATATCATCTTCTGAGATTTTTCGCGACGGTCGCGGTTGGCCATATAACTTACCAGATATCCAAAGGTATTCTGAGCATAAAGCATAAAACTTGAAAAATTTGTTTTTTTTTGTTCTTGTATTTTTCAGCAAATATTTTTTTACACAGTTTTCAACCTAGCAATAAAATTCTTAAATTAATATTCAGTTTCATTCAGCCTTAATTTTAATATAGTTTAGTGTCTTCCGGTGGTTTGCTTGGTCTTTTTAACGCTAATTATTGTTTCCCATTTTCGCTTAAAACTAATTATTAAATTATTTGTTAGGCTTAACAATTAGTCATATCTCTCCATGGACATAATTTTCAACTAAGGCACACAAAGTCTTACACTACATACTACCAATTCCTTACCAATAAAGGAAAAAAATTTAAAGACAAATTGGCAAATTTAACTATTTTGACTAGGTAACTGAGTAAACTACATTAAAAAGCACAGAATGTATTTACAAACACGCTTGCAAAATGAAACCAAAAAAATAAAATAAAAATCATGCAAACATTTCACTGGCATTGTATCCCTGAACGTATTGATATGTACAAACAAATATTTTCACACAAGCATTTCACTTTCAGTCACAACTTGTCGCCTGCTCCCGGCACTCACTGTTCCTGCCACAGCGATATATAGTCGAGTATCTCCTCGTCGTCGGGCGCACAGTCCTCCTCATGCAAATTGAAGCTGTCATATGGCTCGAATTTCAATTGCAAATTTGCATCAATCTGCGCGCTCGCGTTGTTATTACCGCTGCCGCGCTGCGCATCCACTCCGGCATGTTGCAGTGGCGATAGCTGTTGCTGTGGCGCAGGCGAGTGCACAAAGGTGCCCGAATCAAAGGACATGCTTGAGTTGAAGGACGAGGTGGGCGACGGACAACCAGCATCGAGTTGCGTCTGCGTTTGTGTTGGCTGCGGCGAATATGCTTGCAAAGCTTCGGCGGTGAGTAGCGCGGAGGTAAACTGTTGCTGAGGTTGCTGCTGCTGCTGCTGTTGGTGCTGCTGCTGATGGAAAGATTGCAAAGCGCTATTAGCAGCGCTGGCATAGTACAACTGTTCAGCCGCAGCAAGTCCGCTGCCATTGGTTGAATTGCGCGCAGGCGAATCAGCCGCAAGTAAGCTGAGGATACTGCTGGTGCTGCTAGTGCTGCTAGAGAATGAACTATTACTTGTGGTTGTGTTGTTGTCTGTAGCGATTGCTAATAGTCCACTGCCGCTGGCGCGTGAGCTGTTCACCGTTTGTGTTGCGCTGCTACCCGCATTCAAGTCATCCACCAAATCTTGCAGACGGCGAATGTACTCCACCGCAATGCGTAGCGTATCCACTTTGCTTATCTTCTTATGCGGCCCACGACCGCCGCCCTTCAGCAGATCGGTGATGATTGTTTGTGGAATGTGTTGGCGTAGGCGCGCAAAGCTATTGTTCACCTGCTTGACGCGATTGCGCTCGCGTGCATTGCGCCGCTGCACCGATTGCGTTTGATCGACGCTAAAGGGTCCACCGCCGGCGCTGGGCGCGCGCGGCGTATATTTGCGCGTTTTAATCTCAGCGCCTGCGCACCCCGCAGGCATTGGCGTGGGCGCTGGCGCGATATTTTGGTATTTGAACATTTTCACTGCGGCGCTGAGTTGACGATGAGACGGCGCTGTGTTGCTGCTATTGTTATCTTTGCTGTAGTATTGCAGCGGTGCACTATTTTTTGGATTGCTTGTAAACACCGCGCTAGACATGTTCACCATCAGAAACTGTCTTCTCAACTGCTTGGCAAGCGAAATGCAGTATGAGTATTCTTTTGTTTTACTTTCTTTGTTGCGCGAATATATCAGAGACAAAATTTTTAGCTCTAATTTAAGTTTTAACTACTTTTGCAATATATTGCGATTTCTAAAATTCAATTGAACTTGATCCTACGACACCTTGCACAAGAATGAATCCCTTCGTCCTAAACCTTTGCATTTTGTACTGCGTTCAACAGCAACTCCTGCGCCGTGTCGCTAAGGTATAAAACTTCAACAATCCACTAGCTGAGCGTGAGCGCAGAGAGTGCCGAGAGAAACATGGCGCATATATTGAGCGTAAATGCAAACATTTAGCGCACTGTGATCAGTCGGATAAACAGGTAAAAATGAAACCATAACAACGCGCATATCCCAGCGCAACGACGACAGGGAGCTCCATAGCGCGCAGCCTTACATTAACTGTGTGTGCTAGCAAATACTCTGTAAAAGCGATCTGTACGAATTTTTCAACAATTTTTCTTTCGAACCACGCTCTTTTTTCCCCATTTAAGTGATAAAAATTGCGTGCAACGTTCTCTGTGTCTCTCGCGTTCACCTTCGCCGATCACTCGTCGTGTGAAGATCACTTTATGAGCGCTCGGCGTAGCTTATCAGTCGCCCAGGTAAAGAAAACAATGCTTTGATATGGCTTTGGCAGTGGCCCTCTTCCTTGTTCTATTCACGCACGTATGTATGCGTGAGTGCGTGCAGTTTGAGGCTGACCGTGAACTCGTTTTTCATAATACATACTACATCGCTTATGAAAACAAAAAGAAAACTGTTCCCAATCTGGTTTTTTAAATGCAGTTGCACGAGGAGTACACCTTTTAAAGCCACTCTTCGTTTGGTAGTTGCTCTTTTCATAATCTGTACTCCTCTCTCAAGCGATTGCGCTGGCTTTGAGGATTTTACTTTGATTCTGAGCTACTAATGTGATTTTGCAAATTCAGTGCTTATTGGGTGTTCATCGTGGATGGGCATATGGTTGTGGGCTCCTTAGTATTCGCGAACCCTCCTGTATGCTGAAATTTACGTAAATTTTGTATGATCGTTTATTGGACATACATTTACACCTTAGCGCACGTATTTGACTCAACTATGACTTTTATGGAACGTAAAACACAATTGCTGTCTTATGCGGAAAATATTTTTACTTACTAGCGGTAAATAGAGGACTTAAGAAATTATACTGAAAATTTATTGAGAGCAAGGTGTAGTAATTAATTTTGCAAAAAAGCTTAAAAGTTTTTCTCTGGATCGGAAGCCCCAGGAAAGGTTATCTATATATGTATATGAGGCTCAACTTTAATTTTTTTCTTCAATGCGAACAAGCATCGTTCAATCTTGATAACTGAGCATACAAATATACTGAGGGGCGAAAGAAATAATAGAAGCTTCTTATTTTGACCAGTTTTGGCTATAATTCTTTTATTTATTCGATGATTAATATTTTTTTTATAAAAGTCTATCGCATTATATAACACACACTACATTCCAAACTTTGTACAAAAATTATAAAAATTCAACAAATTCACCAAAATCCCCCAAAAATTTCTAACTTTTTATTCAGAATACTTTTGAAAAATTTTAGGTATGCAGTTTTATAGCCCATCAAAGTTTAGTAGGTTAAAGCGCAAATTTCAAGACGCTAGAAACTTGCGTTAATTTTTAATATTTTTGTTTGACTGACGGTGTTGTGCATTTTCTTCCATACTATAAAGTATTCTCGACAATGCTCAAAATTTCTAGCAAAAAAAAAAATACTAAAAATCAATGGGATTTTCTAGCGTCTAGAAATTTGCTTAACCCAATAGAATTTAATGGAATAAAAAACTGCACACCCAAAAATTTTCCAAAAAAATATCCCTCATTCTCTTTTGAATGTGCGAATTTATTTACGTTTTGAGGTGAACCTCTATTTTGAAATTATTTGCTATTCAGTAAGCTGTCTCACGTCTCTATTCGAAAAAAGGTGACTAGTTTGTTAGCTGACTCAGGACAGTTTTTAAAAAATAAAAATATAGAATAAAAGATAATCGCTTTCTATTTTGCTCTAAAAATCGCGAAAATTGAACGAAAAAATATTTGTTTAACGACAACTTCATTAGAAAATAAACCTAAATACCTAAAAAAAATAAAAAATTATAATTTATTTCTTTTTGTTATTTATGGCCTTAAAACAATTATATTCAACAATTTTTATTGAGCTTGAGGAAAATAATAATTTAGAGAAAAGAAAAATAAATTAATTTAAAAAAGAGAAAACATAATAATTTCGCTGCCCGAGAATTCGAAACTCTCGAACGGCACGCTAATGCTTTGCTCACTCGGCCATTGTGACTGTTGGAGAACTGCGAGCTAAATGGCATACATATATTCTATCACTTGACTGCCTCTTCTTGTTTTCAGCACACATTTTTGGTGAACTTTTGGGGACTTTCTCTTACTGAATACCCAAATTGTGTCAAATTCAAAAGAGAGTCACTAGCTTATAGCCTCAAATTTAGTGACTTGATATGAGATTGACTTAATGACCAGCATTAATCTTCTGATATTGTATGCATTGCTTAAGGTTGACCGCTATGGTAGGGTGCGGGTAAGGATTGATCATGTGATAGTGGTCTCAACGTTAGGCGTCTAGTGTAGCTTAGTATCTAGTGCCAAAGACCTGAAGTACCATATAACGCCAACTAAAAAGCACGGACATTATAAAACTTTATTATGACCTGATATTTTTTCGTTGAGAGAGGTCTCTGCTTTGCAATAATCTACCGATCGCAATATAGCAGCTATTGGAAAGATTTTCTCTTTACTTCAGCTCTAGATAGATAGATATTATTGATAGGTGCTGTGTGTGTGTGTTCCTATATTTCCCTCTCTTGCTACTAACTATCCTTATAAGCTGGATTAAGTTCAGGGCCTTGGTGTTGAGGGTAACAACATTAATATCTGTTTCACAATTTCGGATAGAAGAAGATTCACTCAAGTCTTTTGGTGTAATTTATATAAGGTTATCCATCTAGACCTTTTCTTGAATTGTAAATAAAATACTAAACTGGATATTTATTATGATTATTATAAGCCTAAAGAACAATCACTGGTATTTACTTTTCAAAAATAATTTAATTCAAATATTGATCGCGACTACTTAGGTACTTAATACGGAAGTTCGAATTTTCAATTATGCTTTCCAGCATTTCTATGAATTTCTTAACAGCAGCTTACTGTACTCTACACACTGTACATTTTTGTATACGTGTGAGTTTTTGTACTATTCGAACGTTTGTTTATAGAAAGATTCTGTGTCCTCACGAGTAATAGTATGCACTTCTCCTCCAAAAATCTCGGGATGGGTCGAGCTAAAGTTTACCCTTATCCTACAAAATTGTCAGAGTTTAGAAGGCATCCAAAATGTGGGCATTGGGTGAAGGGCAGCTTCTTTCCGTAATTTTAAAAGCGGCTCTGAAGTCAGCAAAAAGGTGGTAAGTGTAAATTTGTCAACCTAGAGTATTATCCAGGATTTGGGGCACTATGCAAATCTGATAAATGGTGGATTTTCCAACCATACTGGTAAAGTTCAAACAGCTTGTTCATTATTGATTCCAGTTTTTTATGTAGCTGATGAGGTAGGTAGGTGGCTATTGAAGTGTACGAAAAAGATTTGTATGATATTTTGTACTTTCATACGATGAATACTAAAGACTATAGAAGGATAAAATTAAAAAGTTATGTATTGTAATATAATTGTTATACTTAGTCCTTAGTGCTTTCTGATATCTAGAAGTAGAGAGAGACTCATACAAATGGACTTTGTCTAAGAGTATCATAGCACTTTCATACATACATACTTCGCAGTGAATAACTGTTCTCAATGCAGATAGGTTCTATACCTACTTTCAATATTTCAAAATTCATTTACTAAAAGGACCTGTGACAAGTAATTAAGTATGCTAGCAAGCATGAAGCATAGTTCCGGGCGTGTGTGTCACATGTGCAACCAAACCTTACGCTTATCCTTTCCACGATTCAATGGCAAGCGTGTGTCAGCATAGCGCCCGGAAAACCAATTATGCAGGACAAAATATTCAAATAGAATTGCTATAGTAATACATAATCGAAAAGTTAAAGGTTCACCCTAGCACTACTGCAACTAGTTAAGCTGCATGCACGCAACAGGGCAAGTACAATTGAAGTGCAATGCGCAGGGGTAAAAGTCTGGTATACATACATATTTATTTTAAAAGGGTAGGTTAGCGCATAAATAAGTTTAAAATTAAAATTCGAAATGACAAAATTTGTAAACTAGTGCGCTGACCTACAATTTTTAAAGTCAGCTAAATAAAAAAGCGAAAACAAATGAAAAATTAGTAATTTTCCAAAGGCACGCTGCATTTTGATTAATCAGAACAGGTCCTGTTGATGTAAGTATATATGTAGCTGTTGTGCACAGAATTTTATTTTGGTGGTAGATTTTTGTTAATATTTTAATTAAATGCGGACCCTTAGTTACCTTCATACAAACTTGTAAGTAAGCGAACACAAACACGCTTGCATGTACTAAATAAAATAATAGTAGTGTTGATTGTTTGGTTGTTGGTTGTTGGTGCTGGTGTGCTCGTGCAAGCCAGCGGCCAAGCAACAGTGCGCGTACACATTTACATACATACATATGTAGTATATAGTTTTTTTTGTTGTTATTGTTGGCACGCTGCTGGCGCAACGGCGCGTGGCAGGTGTATTTACGAGTTACGTGCTCGTCAACTTGTAGGCACCACTGGCAGAGTGGAAAAATAAAATAAAAACCAAAATATCAACAAAAAAATAACAAAAAAAAATTTTTATTTATATCCTTGTATTGCTAGGGGATGCATTTTTAATTGAGCTGCACTAAAATCTTAGTAAGAGGGTCGCCAGGAAAAAATGTAAAAAAATAACCCTGAAACTAAAACAACAGAATACTTAAATATTAAAGACAAAAAACAATCAAATGATAAATTTTAAAAGCTTCCGTAGTCAGCTCGTACTTTTAACTAGCAATTGCCGCTTACGTCTTCTACAAAGTTCAAAGTTGTTGCTCCTAATGCATTTCAATTCTCCAAGCATAATGTTGCCAATTGCTACTCATATCCT